GGGAAAAAATTAACCATGTTTGCTGTTCATATGTCTTGTAATTGGGATGAAGTAAACATCTGTTGAGTAATTTAACATAAAATTGTTTGATAGTGTTAATTTGGAAAGCCAAAACTCTAGCGGGTCCACCAGACCCATGAACACTGGCTGAGTAACAAAAATACGAACACCACACAAGGGTTAATAAGCTTTAGAAATGCTGAAAAGATGATTTCGTAACCTTGGTACATGTGCAGGTTAGGTGTTTTTTATCTGCATGTGAGGAGAAAGCTAAGACTTATTTTCTCTTTGCTAATTTTAGCTTTGGCTGAGCTGAATCTCAGTCAGTTACAATAAAATAGAGTCACATTTAAACCTCTGAGTATAATGTTCTTACAGTGAGAATATGTTTTTTCTCAAGGCTTAAATTTAGGACATTTATTAAACTAAAATGTAGAGTACTGGAATGTCTGATAAAGACACTCTTTAAACTAAAATGAGTGTACGCATTTACAGTTATTTTAAGCTTCACTGTATGCTTCTGTAAGAATCAAATAAGCTGACAGCCTGACATGGGAAAACAAAAGAACTCTGGTAGATGCTGTGTAGAAGAGACTAAATCAGCATCGACTGGTTATACTCTATAGGTGAGATTCTGAGAAAAAGCAATAACAGAACTGTAGTGAAGCTACTTAACTACAGTCAAGACTAAGCCACACTATCAGCCACTGTTTTCAGGCTCCGTTCTCAAATTCATCTACCCATTTATTTTCTTAATCACTCATCCAGTTTAGGGTTGTAGGGGTGCTGGAGCTTATCCCAGCTTTCACAGGGAGAAAGGCAGACTATACCCTGGACAGTTCACCAGTCTACTGCAGGGCCATCACATAGTGAAAGACAATCATTCACAATTTAAAATGACCAATTAAGCTAATATTCACGCCTTTGGACCGTGAGAGGCAGCCACAGCACCTGGAGTGAACAGCCGGTACATTTGATCCAGGACCTTTTCTTGTTATGACGTAACAATATTAGCCACTACACCACCCAATCTCACATTAATATGCAGGTTCTGTATGCCATTGCAAAGACGAGGCAAAGACATTAATGATACTTTGGTAGTTTGCAACTGCTGCAAAAAATAAACTAAAGCTAGATGTAGCACAGTAAAACCTGTAACACCCACCTGCACACTTCGGGTACCTCTGCTAGAAACAGTGGATTATTCTTTCAAACTTCTAAATTTATTTTATTGCCGTGGTCCCACAGGTACAGACATCAATCATAAAGAGGATAAATCACTGGAAGGTATCAACTCCCCAAGCACTAAAAGCTTTTATTTTTTGTTTGCTGTGAAGTAACATTTTTATTTTATAGAGTTGGGCACTACCATGAGTAGTAAAATCACTACTGAGACCAAAAATGTCTAAGTAAGTGACGGATCAACAATCTTTTTCTTAAATAAAGAAGCTTCAGTTAAGGATATCCAGATTATCACATGACAATCAAGTTGGGAAGGCCATAAAGAACGCAGTTGAAGGCAGATGGTGGGAGAGCCATTTCATGCTGATCATCACCTTCCTTTCTGTCTTGTGAGACAGCGAGGAGCTCTTGATCTACAGAGAAAGCAGTTAGCTGTAAGTTTTATTGAATTTTGCTCCTTTTGTGCAGTATTACCAGTTCCATATTTAGTTATGTAACAATTCTGCTCAATATAGATCAAACAGAATTTATAGACAGTGATTTTTTGTACTCAAAGAGAAACATAAGCATGCAAATTGAATGCATTAATAATAAATAGAATGCAAAAGTGAAGCTACATACATATATA